GACAAGAATTTTCTTCCTTCGCATTAACTGCAAAAGGGGAAATTATAAATAATGGATTAATTGTATCAAGCTATTCACATTATTTTACAGTATTAACTGATCAGAACACGTAGCACACTACCTTATCTACACTCTCCGACTCTTTAAATAGCACAAAGCCAAAACCCCTTGATCGCCCTGTGATAGGATCTAACTTCAGAGTGCAGTCTACGACTTCACCAAATTTGGAGAAGTAGTCCTTCAGATCTTTCTTTGTAGTGTCCCAGCTAAGGCCTCCTATAAACATTTTCCTGTAAAGACAAAAAGCAATATTAAAATGCTAAAAAAAAAATTTTAATTTTGTCTTAAGTATCCACATCAATAACTTTTCCAAACTGCACCAATTTACTGGGCAGTATATTAAAATGTCATTCTTCCTATATAACCACATATCAGGAACACCCTATTTTGGAAAGTTTTGCTTATGACTACTGCGCCTGCATAATTAAAAACTAGAGAGCAAGCAGCAGATTAAATCTTCTGACTTGCAAAAAAGGTAATCCCAAAGTAAAAATAGTATATACATTAAATTACAGAAAGTTAAATATTGGTTAACAGCAAAATACAGAACTTCAGCTTCAAATTTCTCTTCCAAATCTTCATTAAACTTATAAAGGCTACGTAGTCTCCACTAACCACAGCAAGCAGCACGTGTCTACGCTGAAGCTCCTGTCTTAACAGTTCTCTAACAAAACTCTTAGCACATAAAATGGAAAATCTACATCTCACGATTAAGTTGTAAACCAAGTTTTTTGATGTGCTAAGAATCACTAATGAAGACAAAAGTAATCACATAAGCAATTTAATGAACAAAAAGAATTATTCACTGAAACACAAGCCACTAATTAACCTAGATGATTTCCTTACAGTAGAACCTCAGTTAACCAGCAACAAAATATTTAAATCTTTAAAATGCTAAAAGTGACAGGTGGTAAGTGGAAACCACCAGGACACTTTAAGACCAAAAATACACTCCCATCAAAAAAAATTAAGGTGAAATCTTATTTTTATTATAGCAAAAGGCCATAAAGCTCAGATCTGGCAGCTCTGTGATCCATTTTACACCTGCCCCCTTTACCCACCCCCACTAAAGAGCTAACATACCTTCTACCCTTTAAACAGACAAGATTGGATATTGTTATTTTAAGGGTAAACTGTCAGAATTTGTTACGTGAGAGCTAATGATCAATTTCACCATGGAATAACTATGTTTGGTCAATGCCTCCTATCTTTATAACTGTGGTGGGTCAGGGTAAGGATGATGATGGTTATGTGGTGCTAATTTCCAGCTATGGAAAGAAATTAAAGCAAGAAACACCTCCATCTTGTAGGCTTTTTAGGATATTTCCACTAGAGCCAATTCTTGCAACAAGAGGACAAGCCTGTCCCTAGAAAAAGATCTTGCTTCCTCTTCACCTAAAGATGCTGGATTAACTGAGGTGTTGCTGATTTTACTATTTTATCACAAACTTGTTTTTTACTTCTAATAACAAAGCTGACTTAATGTAAAAGAAGTCTTACTTTAGGCATATTCTGTGCTTCCCATTTCAGGTCAGGTTTTCAACTTGTACCTGTATTCTAGAGCTGGACTATTTATATGCTTAACATTCAGGATTTCTGCTAATAAAATGTCCATTTATTATCTCTTTTTGTATTTTACAGTCAAATGAGCATAAGAAAACACCCATAATGTTGTACAGGTATTTTTAATGTTTATTGCCAATTCCATAGAACAAAAGTTGAGGTACTTTCTCAATTATATTTTCTTCCATATCCAATGAATATCCAATCTGTATTCCCTTAAACATCTTATTTTTAACCTAAAGATCCAGAGCATTTCCTTCATAGATGAAAAGTATATTACCAACATTTACTCTTTCAAGGTGAAGAGGACACTGTTATCTTTTTAAAGATGAGAAAAAGAACTGACTATAAAGCAATGACCTCTTGCTCAGATATTCAGGGAAAATTCTAGAACAGAAACAACTTCCAAGTAAATTGAAGTGTAACTATTAAATTACCACTTCTGTGATTATTACAGAAATTTTCCATCAATAATTTAACAGCTGGAAAGTATTTCAACCTGAAGAGATCAAGTAACAAAAGCCTTATTTTAAAAAGCTAAAATTGAAAGGCAACAAAATCCTGTGTCTAGTCTGTTCCTCAGATATTGAGACTGAACTCATTTTGATTTTATTTAACCAAGACAATGTTTATTATTGGGTTGTGTCAATTTAAAATTAAGAAATAAAAAACAATTACAAAGAAATAAATTGTAACACCAAGAATGAGGCATGTTCTATTATTCACAAGCCCCAAACTTTTTCTCAACTTTGGGAGTCAGTTTTCTTAAGTATTAGATAAGCATACTAATTCATCACCTGGCCTATTAAGGGTTCTTTAAAGAAACTTTTTACACGTTCAATGTAGTCTTTAGTAAAGAAGTCGTTAAAGGTACCTACCTCAGAGTTAAAAGGTCCCTGAAGAGGCCTCAACTAACAATCAAATCCCAGAAATTTAGTAAGTGTTCTAGTCAACTATAATTTATACATATTCCATAGAACGATTACTGTTTTTCAAAAACTTAAAGCAAAATATGTAGTAAAACTTCGGCTATCCAGCACCTTTGGAGAATGAGGAGCCAAATATATATTACACCTTTCTTCAAACACTGCCTGCTCTCCTTAATCACTTCCCCCCACCTTTTTTTTTGGTTTTCTCCCAATTGTTTTTTAACCTTCAATCACTTGGAATGAATTTTTTTCCTACAATGTATCACATACTCTTCTGCCTTAATCAAATACAGTAATCATGATTTAACACTCTTTGGGTCAGTTACCACTAATACATTATGCTACTGTAGCATGCCCATAGGGTCTTCTGAAGTTAGAGAATTACTTATGAATATACCAAGTGCATCTTATTTCTTAGCTTTCTTAACAAGTTTCAGTTTTCATTTTTGCTAGATTAACCAGAAGTTACTGTTCTAAAATGCTTCCCCCATCCACTCTGTAGCTAGGTAGCTAGCACTCAAAATTTTCAAATTTTGTGTAAAGTAAACGTGAACAGCCTCTGAGCAAGTGCCTAACTGGATCTTTCTGAAACAAATGCATTACCATTTTGGCAGCCCAAAAGCACTCTTTTCCTTCTGCTCTAATAAAGGGTGCTGCACAACTAATAACCAGACAACTGGATATTCTACAATGAACACAAACTGTATCAAATCCATTCCATCTTTACTAAATGGAACATATTAAATCCACCCCATTTTCATTCAGTAGGCACAGCAAGATATAAATGTATAATACATAAGAAAAAGTCTGTTATCTTAACTCTGGATAAATGGGAACTTATTTTAGCCTCTCTGAAACACCAGCATTCTGACATGCTCTCTCTCAAATTATGAGATGGTACAAGATACCAATTTAAACTTTCTATATTTTATATTACTGTATCTTGCTTGATGTACACCACCTATTGTCTGGCCAGATTACCTTTACTACCTTAAATACAAAGACTAACTTTCAAGTTGCTTTCACCCCTGCAGAGATGTGCACACTTTACAATGAAGCAGAGCTGGAACTTTAGAAAAATCCTGAGCAGTCACGTTAAAACTACAAGAGGACTCATTCAACTAGCAAAAATGGGCCCCTAATACGGCAATATAAGTTTAAAACTTGATCCTTACTTACAAGTCAATTGATAATCCCTATTAAAGTGTAGGACTCCATTTACAGCATTAACAAAGTTTAATTTCTTTTTAACTTTTTTATACAAAGTTTAATTTCTTGATCCTGTCTGTAAAGCTATTTAGCACCCCAAAGACAGTACAATATTCAATTTAAAACACTTACTCAGTAATTGAAATCTCCTTGCCTTTACACATATTGATATTACACCATATTATAATATTAAATGGCAGGCAAAGTTATACAACTCAGTGCACATAACTCTCTAAATGAGAATTTAGGTCATTCTCTTTTATAGAAAGTAAATTTAGAGACAGTAAGCCAAACTGTCTGGGGTCTAAATCCTTCCTCCAGAACTGATCCTAAGGGAAAAAAAATTCCAAAACTGTTTTCTACATCTGTAAAAAAGAGGACTAAGAGTTTACCTCATAAACCTGTACTAAGGATTTAAATGGCACAGAACATAGTCTGACAAATCCTAAGTGCTCAATAAAAATAATTATTTACAACAGGTAGAGCACAATCTACATATAATTTAATAAAACAATTTTTTCATTTTCTTAACAGCTTAATTTTTTTTTAATCTGCATGGGCTATATGAAGTTTCAACATTACGGGGAAAAAGCCAGGATGAGTTTTATATAAATGGATCCTAGCATTATTTTTAATGCCAGACTTAAAAAACCCAGAAATTTTAAATATCCTGTGTAAAACTATATAGACTGGAAATTAAGTTGTCTAAGACTCTTAAATAAAATGTAGTTCCAAAATCATACTGATGTCTTGTCTGTACTCTACATAAATGCCAAAAACTTTAGTAAGGATAATTTCAAAATATAAAACACAATATATATGGAGCACTGCTGACTGGTGGAAACTGTTCCAATACCGTTTTTTCCCATCCAAGAATTTTGTTCTCAATACTACTGAGGTCACTAGGTTTAACACTCCAGAAACAGGAAGTATTTTTTATATAAAGATTATTTCCCTATCAAGTCCTTACTGTGAAACACCTTATTCAAGGTAAAATGATAAATACTATTACATTTCTTCCCACTTTTAGAACAGGGACAAAAAAAAGTATTCTGTAACTTTTAAACACTTTCTAATAACTCACGATCTTCCATTTGTTGTTTCATAACAAATTCTGACAGTTTAAAAACTACCAAAAAAAAAAGTCAATCTGATGTACATTTCAAGTATATAACGTGACTGGTCAATCACTGTAACTTTTTAGAGTAATGCTACTCAAGCATACTACATTCTTTTTTAAAAAAAGTTTCTGGTATTTTATAATTCCTTTAAAATCCTAAAATGATATTAAGTATAATGAAATCTCACCAACAGATAAGAAATTATTCCTTATAAATTTTAGATTTTAAAATTAAGTCAACAGTTAACTAAGCTGAGGAGAGGTTTACTTTTTGCAACTAGATGGTATTCACATATTATCGTTTAGGAATCTGTGTAAAAGGTAACTTTGGAAACAGCTTAACAAACTTTTAACAAGTCAATTAAGAAGATTAATTCCTCTAGCTAATATATTAGATCTCATTTCTTCATACTTTGAATGAACCTAAATGACTGAAAAGGATAAGTTGAAAACATAATAGCTAATTAACATCAGTTTTTTAATAAACTTCAATGTTGAACCCAAAAATCTCCCCTTCTGTTTCATTCCCAGACAGGAATGACATCTTGTTCATTTTTACTTTTAAAATAAACTTTCAATCAGCTTTACAAGGTAAACTCCCATCTACCTAAAGGTTAAGGAATAGGCTTTCCTTAACCTAGAGGTTAAGGTTCTGGTTAACTGAGATTACTACACATTGTTTTCTATTAGAAATCAATTTAAGTATCGACACTAAACTCAGAAAATGACTTTCACCTTTTTTGATAGAAGTTTAGAATCTTGCTTTAAAATCACATTAACTTTTTAATAGTGTAAGAGGAAAATTATAGAAGATTCATTCTGTAACATTGTCTTCTAGTTGCTTTTTGAGTATACTGGCTGACAGTTTTTCATCTATCTTTCTCTTAAGACTTGGGGTGGGGAGATGGGAGTTGGGTTTCCTGGCTATTTGGGCTTTGTGGTAGTTTTGAAAGTCTAGATAAGTAGGAGCTTACACAACACGACCTAAACTATCACTCTGAGTATTCGCCAAGCACTGCCAGTAATACGAGTCTCCCCACTCCACCCCCAAACAGTCTAAAATGTCTAGCTCCAATGTACAATATAATACTCCAGAAACTAAAACATGCTTACCTTTACTCCACAGGAGTAAACCACTGGCAGTATCAACTATTAAGGCACGGGGATAAATACACACAAACTATGAAAGCAGGCTATGTAGTCAATCTTCCTGTGGTGAGCATTGTTTCCAACACATAGATCAGCAAACCAAGTAACAAACATGTTATATTACCTGAGACCACACTGTTGGAAGTGAAGTAACAGAAACAGATCCCACGCTTCCAGCATCCAGTTCAGTGCCCTATCTACTAAAACGTTGAAGCAGAACTAAAGTCAAATAAAACTTCAACAGTTGTTTCACTCCATTTGTGAATCTGCACACACTCAAGGTGCACAGCTTTAACTGGAATAGGAAATGAGTTTTTACTCTATTCCTTTTTTAATGCTTTCAAGCGTGGCATATAATCACTTAAAGGCTAAAACTAATCATCTTCCATGTTGGCCATAAATCATATACAACAGTAAAATGAAAACTGTCTTATATTAGGACACCCTCACAGATGTCAGAATACCCAGGTAACATTAAAAATAACAAAGTATGTATACCCTTAATTTATAGAAGCAGCCAAAAGTATACTTATCTCAAAAAGTAGCACTGAAAAACTTCAATAATATTCTACAATTCCAAAGATCAGGTGATTTTTAATCTTTCGTAATAGATAAGAACTTGAAATAAAAAGGAATGGAAGTATTCCTCCTTTACGTGTTCATTATCTCAAGATCTGGGGGCATCCATTTCTGCAATTTTAAGCTTGGAAACTTGTCAAAGCTTCCAAAGAATGCAGAAATTCAGACCCACCTACTCAAGGTCTCAACTTTACAATAAATCCAACTTACTGAATCAAAGGCCAGTATATTGGCATGAGACTGCTTTATCTAAAAGTAACTGTTTAATGAAATAATTTCAAAATGCCCCAGAAGCACTGGGCCATAAATTTTAATCTCAAATATTTAAAATAAAAACATGGTGGGTAGGCCTGTTTCTTAAAAACTGGACAAGAGAAAACCTACAGCACAATTAATTCACAAGACTCTCAAACAGAAAGAATCACACTTGAGTTTATACACTAATGGTAACAGGACTGGATCAACTGTCCTATTAGAAAAGCATTGCTGTACTTTGGCTGGTAAATGAATGGGATTATTCTGCTTCCTGCTTCATCCAATGAAGGCAAGTCAAAGTACCTACCTTGTAAAACTGTCTGAAAGCTAACACAATATTATAGTTCTCCACTGATCATGAGATTTTTAAAATCTCTGCCTCCAGATAGCTGGCTATAGGGCATGCACATTTTGCCAGACAGTTAAGTATATTTTAAAGAACCTACCCTAAAAGAATCATAGCCCTATACAGGACATAGTGAGTTCACACCAAAATGAGAAATCCCAGTGCAACTGCTTTTAAGTAAAAACTGGGGATGTTAAAAGTTGGAAAGCATATAATAAGGTGAACTCACGAAGACGTTTTACTCTGAAAATACTCTAAAAGTCCACAGTAAATTGTGGAAACACCACACTCCACTAGAGATGTAACAGGCATGTCATCCTCAAAATAGCTGTTTATTCTTATATTTAAAAAAAAAAAAACACTTAAGGGGGGAGGGTAATAGCTCAGTGGTAGAGTGCACACTTAGCATGCAAGAGGGCCTGGTTTATCCCCAGTACCTCCACCAAAAAAAAAAAAAAAAAAAAACTTAAGTCTACAACAAAAGCATTTTAAAATATTTTTAGGATGAAACTGTCATCACTTTAGTCTCATTAAAACTAAAAAGTAACGCACAGTGTGTCTTTAAGAAATTTAGATCACTTTGTATCTAGTAACCAGTCTTAATTAACCTCACCACTGATCATTATGAAACTTCTGCCAAACTTCCCTCAAACTGGGAGACAGAGAACAGACTGGGGGTGGGAGGCAAGTGCACAGACACCAGAAAGATTAAAGGACTTAAGTTTTTTTGTGTGTGTTCAAGAAGAAAAAAGAACATCTACCAGATGAGGATAACTGACTGGGCAGTAGTGGTTAAGCCAAGTACTAAACTTTAAAAATGAAAATATTATTTGCTAAATTTGTTAAATGTAAACTCACTTAAGTGAACTTCATAATCTAAAATGTTCATTAACTATAAATATTTAATTGTCCATTTTTCCTAAGAGGTCACTCAAGGTAGCAAACCACATATAAATATTCCAAGAGTCAAAACAGTGACCTTTAAACCTAAGTTTACAGTGCTTTTCAAATTAATGAAAATAAGTGCTTATATAAGATTTGAAATATGTAATGTAGTAAAGCAGTTTTTATTAGTTTCCACTATTACCTAGCAGTGAAATTGAACTATCACAGTGACAAACAGAATCATTTCCTTCAAAAACACATATTCTGTATGTCAAACTACAACCACAGGTTCTTTTGTTTTCTTTTGCCTACTGGTTCTACTCTGTTTTATCTCCAATATAAAACTGGACAAATTTCAGTGAAAGAAAATAATAGCAATAAACTGCTGTAAAACTTAAATGTTATCTCAACTGGGCTCTTAAAGTAGAATATAGTTTGTACAGATGTAAGTCAACTATCTGGAAGTTACTGGCTCTTTAAACTCCAGTGTTGGTGGATACAAACTCAAATACCAACATTTAGGGGAAAGGAAAGGAAAAAAGAATATTCAATCTACCAGCCTTCCAAGAAGTCATGCAATTGTGAAACACACGTCAACCAATCAACTGTAATTAACATTCCAGCCAAATCACACTTAAATTTAAAAATCTGATTTAAGCTGTAGTGGAAAGCCACATCAGCGCACCTCTAATAGTACATATGCAAGTCTTACTAAAGTTCTATTTACAAATATGGTTGGCGATAAAAGACTTCATTTTTGCATACATACACACAACACTACTGAAAATTATTTTACTACTGACATCTCCAGAATATTTCAGTATAACATGCAAGACATTTTAAACACAAAATACTTTGTATCAAATAACCTTCACATATAGCATTAGTTAGTTAACAACAAAAATACCTTCGTCTTAAAAACAAATCAAATTTAAAATTACAGTAATATTTTTCTTGCCCAGATATACAAATATCATTACTAATTGCATTAAGCTTTAATAGCCCAAACCACAATTACATGCATTACCACAGACCAAAAACCGTGTAATAGCATCAATTTTGCCCAAAGATCACACAAGATGCCTAAAAAGGTTTTATATCCCAGGTATAAAACATCCTATTGTACTAAAGTCTAGAATTTCCTGGGGATCAGTGGGCAACTAACCAATACACAGCCTCTGCATGACTACTGAAACCTTTATAATACAAAAATAAAATTTAAAAGTTTTACCATTCTTCCCGCTGTGCCGTCGCTGCTTCAGAGTGTCGTGGGGAGGAGTTTGAATGGCTAGGGAATTAACAACCGGTACAGCAACCAATCAAAATTCTAGTTTTAGTTTTTGACATTGTTAGGGTTAAAACTTTAATTCATTTACAGTTCAGTTCAACAGCACATAACTACAAAGGCAGCTGCTTTGTGATTTGAAAAATCAAACAGAAAGCCTGCCCCAAACAGCAAGTTATACAGTTAGTCATTTTGGTGCCTCTGTCCAAAAAATAGAATTCAGAAAACAAAAACCAAAATGTTAAAGGCTTCCAAATGTTAAAGTTCCCAAATATTTAACATATCCCTTTCTTAAATTAAGGTATATGTAATTCAAGATAAATTAAGGAAAGGAAAAAGATAAATTAAGAAAAACTACTTTCCCATCCCACCTCTACTCTCCCAAAGCCAGCACAATCGGCAAAACAGCCTGACAGTAGTCTGCCTAGGCTGAGATTATTAAATCCTATACTCCAAAGGGCTTCTCTCTCACCCCTCCAAACCTTGTGCTTTTTCCCAAAAAAAGAAATCGTATTTTCTAATATTGGGTTAAAGCAACATTTTATTGCTTTTACCTTCCACCAACACCTTTCTCCTTGTCACAGTGAAAAAAGTTTCATACACACAACCAATTACAAAAAGTAATGGAAGCGTTAACCCAAGATCAGCAGTCAGTAACGGGAATAAGAAAACCCAACCAAGAACCCCGATTTAGTCCCTCCTGCTAACTCCTGTATTATGCTCCCCGCTCCCAATACGCTCTAATAAATAAATGCAGCGTGAAATAATATATACAACGTATTCCAATTGGAGAAAGCAAGTTACTACTTAAAAACCTGCAAAAAAGAAAAAAATGCCATGGCACAATACAGGATTTGTTCATTTTATGGTAGAAGGCTAGTGGGCCTCTTTCAACTTAAATGAGAGAGAGCGGAAAGGAGAAATCAAGAGAGATCAAAAAAAGGATCCTGGGCACGAGGTGGGGTGGGAGCGTTGGTTAAAAAATGGAAATTGCACAGAAAACGTAAAGCAGGAGTACAACCTGTACGAACAGTTGGGGACCCAAAAAGCTGAAGGCGCGAAAAAGGTGCGCGGACAGAATAACTCGGCGGGGTGGGGGAAGGGCAGTCAGCAAGTCGGAGGCAGAACAGCTCCAGTCAAGTGCAGGCCCAGCCCACAAGGAACTTAAGGAAAGCCCGTGGAGCAAAACCAACGCACCAACAGGCGATTTGGGAAATTTCACCAGGGCCAATTGGTTCTGTAAGCTGTAAAGTAGAGACTACGTAAGCAAGTTGTTGTGCGATAGTGCATACTGGAAAAACGAAGAGGTGGAGGCGAAACTTACTCAAAATACTGAAAAACATTCGGCCTGAAGCCGAGGCGGGAGGTGCAGAGCTGGACAGCCTACATGTTCCCCGAAGCATGTGCTTATAAAGAACCACACATCGTCTTGGGATGTTAAGAGTTAGGAGGCACCAAATAAGCCTTAGTTTGTCCAGGCATAAAGGCTTTTGTGTCTGACTGCGTTTTTTGCCGAGGACTTTAGAAAACCAGGAAGGGAGAAGACAGTGGGAAAAGAAAAAAGGTACCCCTCGACAGGCGGGAAAAAATCCTGGCGGCTAAGTCGGTGGGAGGAGACCCAAGGCGAGGGAGGGAAGGAGGGCGGGCCGGGGAACAGCATGGTGACGGCTAAAGGTGGAAACGTGTGTGATGGGGGAGGGGGCGATAAGCAGGCAGGGGGAGAAGGAAATGAAAACCCCGGGGAGCCCAGCGAAGAGAAGGGGAGAACAGTGAAGGGAAACTGCATTGGGCCTGGAGGGCGGGCGGAGAGCGGGAACGAGGCCTAATGGCGGGGGGCAGGGAGGGGGAGGGGGGGATAGTTGGGCCTGACTATCCCGGGCCGCCCCTTACTCACCCTTCATCCTCCTCGTTCTTACTGGCATCGATCTTCGCCCCCTCGGACTCGGCGCTGCCCCCTTCGGTGCCGCCGGCCGCGGTTCCGCCCCCGGTCCCGGCTCCACTTCCCGCCGCCGCCGCTGCCCCCTGCGCCGCCGCCACCATGGCTCCCTCCTGTTCGCCCGCTGAGCCGCCTACCGCCGCCCGTTGCCGCCGCCGCCGCCCCATCCCCGCCGAACTGCTCCTCCGACATAGTGCTAGTGCCTCCGCCGCCTCCGAGACTACACCCGCCGCTGCCGCGAGCCGAAAACTAGCAGCAAAGTAATCCCCGCCGCTGCCGCGCGCCCGCTCTACCGCGCGAAGCACACAACAAGACAGAGAAGGCGCGCGTGGCTGCAAAGGCTCCTGCGCCTCTCCCTGGCCTGCCCCCCTCGCCTCCCACTCTCACGCGGCGCGCACTCCCGCTCTCGCCCGCTGCACTAAAAAAGAATAAGAAGCAGCGGCGGCCGCTCTTGCCTCCTCCTCGCTTTAATGGCGCCGCCGCGGACCACCTAAAATGGCCGACGGAAGAACGGCGCGTCCCGGTCACGTGACGCGCGAGCGCGCCCTTTGCACCTCCCCCGCCCCCTCTACCGCTAGTTTTTTTTCCCCTTCCTCCTCGGTCCCGCCCTCTCGCTCCCTTTTATGCCTTCCTCTCACGCGCCGCGCCGCACAGCTAGGGGCCTTTAAAAGGAACCGGAAATGGCGTTCGATGAGACGGCCGCGCGGGGACCATCGAGAACAAGGAGCGCTGTTTCGAAGGCGCGGCTAGAGGGGCTCCTTCCTCCGCCCCCGCCTTTGCGAGGGTTCCAGGCCGCTTATCCACTAACCCCACCCCCACTCCCAGGAGCGGGCGGGAGCAGCGGCGTCGGGCAGGGGTGTGGTAGCGCCTCCCGGAAGGCGACTGTCCCCTGTGCGCCTGCGGATTGGGAGTGGGGGAGGGGAGGTGCACAGCCGGCGGCTCCTTCTGTGCGGGAGGTGCCAGCCCTGGAAGGAAGGCTGTCCTGAGGTGTCGGCTCTGTCCCACGAGGCTCCTGGGGACGCCTGGCTCGCGGTACCGTGAGCGAGGTGCCGGGGTTGGCGGCGCGGGCACGGACTGCGGCAGCTCTCCGCCCACCGTAGTCGCCGACGACCGGGTGACATTGAGGTTTCCCCGACAGTCGTCGCCGGGCTTCCCAGCCCCCGGCCGGCAGGCTGAGGCTGCTGACGATTAGGGCTGCTTTTTCTTTTAAGATTTGCTTTCTAAGTAAGATTTTTTTACTTGCTTGCATTTCTCCAGAACTTTTTCGTCAAAATACTCAGGTAGCTTGCATATTTTAAGGAACAGGGATTGTTTCGCTTTGCTTGCTTTATTTGAGGTTCCTGAAACCTACCAAGATTCTTTGAAAATCCTGAGAGTTGGGAAGTGGATTAGATCAACCAGTCGTTTAATTTAATGCCTTTTAGTCCTTGTACTAAATAGAATGTATAAATGCTGTGAATCATCTTCCCAAGGTTTTTCTGTTGTGTTGTGGGGTTTAGGGGGGCGGGGATTGTTGTTAAATACCGCTAGGCGTTTTATGCCGGATAACATTCAAGTTCTTTAATAGACCTATTAGAAATCCCAGGTGCCTTGGCTGGAAACTGGATTATTTGGGCTTTGGGATTTGCAGCTTCCTGCAATTACATCTAGAAGAAAATGAAGTTTTTAGGTACTTCTTTAGTCAACAAATGATTATTTGCCTGTTTAGCATGTGCCCAGACACTGAGGAAATGAA